ATATGCGCTTGATTACTTGATGTTCTCATGTACAGGCCCTCGTAAGACATCGCCCTTTCGTTCAGTAAGCGGTGCCTACTTGTATCGCAGCACCCCAACCTACGACTCTGCCCGGTCCGTCTTGCAACGGCGAGCGCGTTAGCGTCAACTCACGGGGCGTAGGTCTTTCTGAGTCAGTCTTTAAAACCTCGAATACTGACACTGCTCCTACAGGTTGTACGGCCCGTTCTTGTGCTTCGGGATCCGCGAAATATCCTCACGGTACGCATTGCAGTCTGCAGGTGTCTACATACACAGGTACTTATGTGCATAACTCGTCTAGGGTACAAGTCACGCGCATCGTGCACTAAGTATACGGCCGCTCCGGGGACAGCTTTTTGTCTGACGCTCACATTCACTGCGAAAGCGCTGCCCTCTGGATGCCGTTGTATTTTATCTACGAGTTTTGTACCTATTGTAGTTTTGTGAATATATAAATTGCTATCTTAATTTTTTATGTGCGAGCTCGCCCCCAAAAATCCGATTATTGAATAAATCTTGCGAGCTCTCTGGCAAATGCCACCCAGCCTGGCGCTCCCTGGTAATGCATTGCCAACCTTAACTGAATGATAAAGGTCCCCAGGCTGGCAAGCCTTAGAAATCATACAGGTGCTCTATCTACTATGGCAATAGCAATCTCAGGGTGGGTTGACTTATATTCATGGGTGCCTCTATCTAGCTTGGCCAGATTAGATCATTGGGTAATTTTTTTGCTGATGACATATGAGACTCTCACGAAGATGTGCAGTCTACATCGTCGCTGGAGCGTGGGATGGCGGTACCATACTCAGGTCCTCGAGCACACGAGCGGATGCATCTCCAGATCTACAATCTTCCAGCATTGGCCAGGGAAATCCCCTTCACCAATTCTGCTCTCGAGGATTTCATACTTGGTCGGCACAAGATGGGCCCGAAGTCGACCACCACATCAGAGAGCTCTACACCCAGCTGTCCATACATCCGTTTAAGTACCCCGCGCACTGCTTTTGCACGCATTATGTCTGATGCTCACTGTGGTTACCGACTCAAGTTTAGTGTGATCACACTTCAATCTTTTTTGATTGCAAAGCCCTGCAACGAATCGAAATAATTGCATATAACTCGTTCTGTCGTGCAAATTACCAGTAAATCGCCTCTGCCCTGCTTTCACACATGCGCGATTCTAGGCCGTTTCGAACGACTCGTGATATCTGCTCCATGCACCCCTCTTGACGTCAGTCCTCACGCATCATGGTAGAGAAGCGATGCTTCTGCCCTGTACATGCAGCCATGACGAAGGTACGCGAGGCAATGTCTATACCTCAGATTCGGCTCACAAAGCCATGCCTTTGTATATTCGCAACCTGGACTTTTGCTCAAATAAGCCCCCGTGAAAAGTGCTCTTAAGACCCGCACAGTTCCACCTCGTTTCATGAATCAGTGATACCGTCAAGGAAGGTCCTACGTTAACTTCGACTTCTGTCCAATGAGCAGTCTCATATAAACAACCTTGCGATAAGCTGAGCTCAGTAGACTTTTCTCACAGACTCTGTCCGGGTCAAGTTTCCAAGCCGTCCTACCTCACCGAGCGCTAGCGCTTGGTGAGCAGACACTAGAGACCAGTACAACCGTGGGTCAACTGTACATGTCGAAGTCGAGTACGACAGCCTTCTCTTGACGATCTTTGCCTACGTTTCGCCGATATCTACATTGCTCGAATCGGATCAAGGCGCACCGACATGCCCTGGGAAGCTGACTAAGGCCTACTCCTCGTAATACCCTCGCTGCTCGTATGGCGGCGTGTGCAAACTATTCCCGCTATCACAAGACCGCCGCGCGAACGCTTCCCACCTCGAGGGGCTCATGGGAACCGCGACACATACGGGGGCGCGATGTCTAGTCTTGGGCCGACACCACCCGTGTAAGACTGCGCGTACCGCGTTCTCTGGACCCCACGGTGCTCGATGCGATGCACACATGATCATCTCCCAAAGCTTGGCCTCGATAATGTCCTGGTTTCATCCTCTATGCAGGGAGCGGAATCTCACTATGATCCTTATCGCAGCTCTGTTCCATACGATGCCTTCACGCTCTGTGTCGGCCGCTTGATGTCGTATAAAGCACCGGGTGTAATGTCTGTCGGGCTCCAGGGCCTCATACAAGGTCTTTCTCCCCTCTTCGGACAGAGTCTTGCGACATGGTGGCCACAGGCTTCTTCCTCGCTTCGCTCTTCGCGACTGCCCTCGGCAACCCGCTCGGTCGTCGCGCCATGACGGTGCACGAAAGCCGCAGCGAGGTCCCCGATGGTTTCGCCCAGCAGGGTCCCGCATCTCCGGACACTGTGCTGAACCTGCGCATTGCGCTCACGCAGTCTAACCCCCAGGGTCTGACTGACGCGCTCATGGAGGTCAGCACTCCGGGCAACGCCCTTTACCAACAGTTCCTCAGCAAGGAGGAGGTACGCGCCTGGCTCGCTTGGTCACGATGGCAGCTAATTATGTCCTGCACAGGTCGAGGCATTCGTCGCACCCACCCAGGAGACGTCGGACGCCGTCACCTCCTTCCTTAAGGAGAACGGCATCACCGCGTCGACGATCTCCCCCGCAGGCGACTGGCTCGGCTTCCAGACGACTGTCAGCAAGGCTAACGAGCTGTTCGATGCTGACTTCCAGGTTTTCAAGCACCAGGAGACCGGCAGCGAGAGCATCGTCACAATGGCATACTCTGTTCCGTCGGACCTCGCCCAGCACATCGACCTGGTTCATCCGACCATCTCGTACGTGAACTCGCTGCTATCGATGTGCTCCTACTGATGTCCGATGCAGCTTCAATAACCCCTTCGGTCGCCTGCCCCTGGCGTCTGTTCCGCTGAAGAGCCGTGCTCAACCTGGTAACTTGTCGTCGGATGCCATCCCGGAAAGCTGCACCAGCACCGTTACGCCCGCATGTGTGCAGGATCTGTATGGTGTCCCAACCACCCCGGCCACTGTGAAGACCAACACTCTCGGCGTTGCGGGATACATTGAGCAGTTTGCTAACGAAGCAGATCTGACGGTGTGTGGCATAACTCATCGAAATTTTGTATTGGCAGTACTCAGACATTTCGTATAGACTTTCCTCACTAACCTGCGTCCCGACATCAGCCCCGCTACTACGTTCACGCTCCAGACTCTCGATGGCGGTACCAACACTCAGACTGAAGCCGACGCTGGAATCGAAGCTGTGCGTGTCTTCTAAGTTCCTCTGATCGTCAGAATACTTGATCAAGGAATCTATAGGACCTTGATACTCAATATACCATTGGTATCGCTACCGACGTTCCCGTCTTCTTCATCTCCGCTGGAGAGGATAATCACGACAATCTCGGTGGTTTCCTCGACTGGGCCAACTTCGTGCTCGGCCAGACCAGCCCTCCACAGGTGCTTACCACCAGCTACGGCCAGAACGAGGACACTGTTTCGGCTAAGCTTGCCAAGTGAGTTCTTCTGTCGAGCTGTCTATCTCAACTGTACTCATTACGGATTCAGCTCGCTGTGCAATGCTTACCAGCAGCTCGGTGCTCGTGGCTCCTCTGTTCTGTTCTCGTCAGGTGACGGTGGTGTCGGCGGTTCTCAGTCCACCCGCTGCACCAACTTCCTGGCTACCTTCCCATCAGGCTGCCCATTGTGCGTCGTGATTTCCCACTCCTAACTTCTCTGCTGACCGTGACACCGCAGCATGACCTCGGTCGGCGCCACGCTCGTCGACGCCACGACGGGCTCCCCCGAGACATCCGCGAGCTTCTCCTCCGGTGGCTTCTCGAACATCTTCGCGCAGCCGAGCTTCCAGTCCGCGGCGGTGAGCGCGTACCTCACGAAGCTCGGCAACACAAACGCGGGCAAGTTCAACCGCTCGGGACGTGCATTCCCCGACGTCGCGGCCGTGGGCGAGAACGTCGAGATCGTTTTTCAGCAGGAGGGGGAACTCGTGGCCGGCACGAGCTGCTCGAGCCCGATCTTCGCGAGCATCGTCTCGCTCATCAATGACCGGCTCGCGGCGCAGGGCAAGGGCCCCCTCGGCTTCCTCAACCCGTTCCTGTACGGCGCCGCCGCGTCGACGTTCACCGACATCACGACCGGCGACAACCCCGGCTGCAACACCAATGGCTTCCCCGCTGAGGCGGGATGGGACCCGGTACGTGCTGTCGGTGTGCGACGGGGTAAGCTTGACTGATGTTCTGTTCGCGCAGGTCACTGGTCTCGGAACGCCCAACTTTGCTGCGCTGCTCCAGGCTGCGGAGACTGCTGCAGGCCTTTAGATGAGGATGTTGTCACGAACCTGTCACGAAGGAGTGAAAAGAACGAACCCAATTGTAATTTACTAGTACATACACGGTATGCAACACGAGTGTATATGTTCGACGATCAAGCCGGCCGGACCGCTTTTCTCATAACTCCAGCATAAAATCGGGCATATTACGAGAGTAGTGATAAATGGCAAGCGTTCTGACATGCTTGGTGATGAACGATGCCGTTGGTCGACTTGAGACATCGTGCTCATCTTCACGGCGGATGACGATGTACTTCTCGGCCTGACAAGGCATATTCAAAGACTCCGCAGCGGCGACAGTGTCAGCGAGGCTTTCGATGGTCAACTAAGCAAGTGCGAGCTCCAGGTGCTTGCGGTAGGAGCGCAGATCGCTTGGAGTACTCAAACAATCGATTGTTGTTCGAGGCGTCGGCCCGAAGTGGTCATACACCATCTGAACATCACTGGCGGTGGCGTTGGGCATTTGGATTTCCGCCCTATTGTTGTAGTCAGAATCCATCGACAGCTCATGACAAGCCCAAACGTGCTGCGACGCACCACTGACAAATCTCCTCTCGCGCCCAAGGATCCATCACGATCTCAGTACATGCGTGCGTCTTCTCCAGGCTCTTCCAGCGGCGACGCTCCGGATATGTTGCGTATACAACGTGCACGTTTGCAAGCTACTCGGCTAACGCGTCTGTGATGCCTTGAAGAGTATCATCCTTGTCCACCAGAACTAGGCAAGGCTGATGATAGTGCTGGAAGTCGTGTGTCTCTGAGACATCGTATACGCCATCACGCACAAAGATGAGACTGCGTGCAAGGTGGCAAACTAGGGTTGGTTCCGTGGCGGCGCAGCGCCTCGCGAGAGCGTAGTATAACCACGTTGACTTGTCTTGGAAGCGATGTTTGAACATTCAAGGACGTCATGTCCGCTTAGCGTGTAACTTCCCGAGTCCAGACCACCCGGTAATAATGACGGCGGCACGCCTGGTAAGGGTCCCGCCGCAAGTAGTTGAGCGGCTGTCTTTAATTTGATCGTCTATGAAGTTGTAGATTCTGTCGTATTCCGTCCGCACAAGTAGCTGCCGGGGCAGGAGCGGCAGCTGTAGATCACAGGTCTCTATAGTCGGCAGCCTGGGCTTATTAGCAGGGTCTCTCCGCGCAAGCAGCCCCGATAGCTTCTGCGGAGACCTGCTTATCGCCCGGAATGCCATCGGACCTGCCCCAAAACGTAGAACGAGACCAAGGGTCGTGGTCATCCAGCCTGCAGCGCAGCCAATCCCCGCTTGAAACAAATAGACAGCTTGGATGCATGGAACGTACTTGAACACGCTTTTTCGACGCAGATTGAGAAAGTAGGAATGGAGCTGACTCGAGGCGAAAAATGAGGTGTTGTTGCGGCGGGATGAACCTGAGACGAGATTAAGCGCCTACTTCGACTTGTAAGCGCCCAGCCTCCCGAAGCATACGCCCAATCGCTGCGTCGGGTGCTGCGACCTTGATGCACCTCAAGGTACCCGACGCCTCGAGGCACGTCTGCCTCAAGGCCCGCCGCAACACGAGGGGCAGCAACGAAGCAGCAACGAGGCAGCAGACAACGGTACTTGTCCGGATCGGGAGGCGGTGCATTAGGCGCCTCAACGGCAGCGCCCGAGTCAACCCCGCCCATTGATAAGCTGACGGCCACCACTCCACTCCTCTCCCACCAACCACCACCTTCTAACCACAGCAACCTCTCAGACAACGTGAGCTCCCTCGTTGTATACGGCGACGAGCTAAATACTCACTATATGCGCTCAGCAGCATGCAGATCTTCGTGAAGACCCTCACCGGCAAGACCATTACCCTTGAGGTCGAATCCTCCGACACGATCGACAACGTCAAGGCCAAGATCCAGGACAAGGAGGGCATTCCCCCCGACCAGCAGCGCCTGATCTTCGCCGGCAAGCAGCTCGAGGATGGTCGCACCCTCTCCGATTACAACATCCAGAAGGAGTCCACCCTCCACCTTGGTGAGCTTTGACCTTCTTGCTGCGCATTCGATCACCGTGTCTGACGTGTATTCGTAGTCCTCCGTCTCCGTGGAGGTATGCAGATTTTCGTCAAGACTCTGACGGGCAAGACCATCACGCTCGAAGTCGAGTCCTCCGACACCATCGATAACGTCAAGGCCAAGATCCAGGACAAGGAAGGCATTCCCCCCGACCAGCAGCGCCTGATCTTCGCCGGCAAGCAGCTCGAAGATGGACGTACTCTCTCCGACTACAACATTCAGAAGGAGTCCACTCTTCATCTTGGTGAGTTAGTCGACTATATGCGCGCTCTTCTCAACTGACACACGCCGTAGTTCTTCGTCTTCGTGGCGGTATGCAGATCTTTGTCAAGACCCTCACAGGTAAGACGATCACTCTTGAGGTCGAGTCCTCGGACACGATCGACAACGTCAAGGCCAAGATTCAGGACAAGGAGGGCATTCCCCCAGATCAGCAGCGCTTGATCTTTGCCGGCAAGCAGCTCGAGGACGGGCGCACGCTCTCCGACTACAACATTCAGAAGGAGTCCACCCTTCACCTCGTCCTTCGTCTCCGCGGCGGTATGCAGATCTTCGTCAAGACCTTGACCGGCAAGACGATCACCCTCGAGGTCGAGTCTTCTGACACGATCGACAACGTCAAGGCCAAGATTCAGGACAAGGAGGGTATTCCTCCAGACCAGCAGCGTCTGATCTTTGCTGGCAAGCAACTCGAGGATGGTCGTACTCTGTCGGACTACAACATCCAGAAGGAGTCTACCCTTCACCTTGGTAAGTACCTACCGTTTTGTGCTACTTCAATAGCAGCTCATGGCTGTCATCAGTTCTTCGTCTCCGTGGCGGTATGCAAATCTTCGTCAAGACACTCACCGGAAAGACTATCACTCTCGAGGTTGAGTCTTCCGACACCATCGACAATGTCAAGGCCAAGATTCAGGACAAGGAGGGTATTCCTCCGGACCAGCAGCGCCTGATCTTCGCCGGCAAGCAGCTGGAGGACGGGCGTACGCTCTCTGACTACAACATCCAGAAGGAGAGCACTCTCCACCTTGTCCTTCGTCTCCGTGGTGGTCTGTAGACGGTTGTGTTAGGCTTCGATGGTGTTGATCACTGTATTATCTGTACCACTACTATCGCACGCGCTCGCTGATACGCAATACACACTATCTTTCATCGAAGCTACAAAGGTTTACCCGGAGTGAGCGCAACAACAAAATAGATGGTGGCGATGTCAGGTAGTCATAGACACCGCGAGGGAGGCGGAGTGCTCTGCTATGGGAGGGATGACGGCATACGGCTGCCTATTCCAGGCAAGTGTGTTATACTGCTTCTCCCAGCAACTAGATTTTAGTTTGAGGTTAGAGCGTCACAGCTCCTCGTTGCCGGGCGTGTAGCAATCCTCCGGGATGGTCAGTGGTATATTCCCGCTACAGCTTGTGTGCTCGCTAACCGGTGGACAGCGGCTCTGCAAAAGGCGACGAGAGCAACACGGCTAAATGAACACTATACCTGCGGGAGACGTTCCATTGGGACTTCAATTCAGTTGCGGTCCCGAGAAACTGGCCGACGGTTGTGAAATACCCCGCAATTCCACGAACGATCGCGTCCGGCTTTGCAACAGGGCCTAGCCAAGACGTCTCTTGCAGAGCCTCAGGACGTCGGCAAGGCCCGTCGGCTCATTTCCGTCCTCGCCTGTGCGTACGCGTACGCGTCGATCCGCGCCGCGTTTCACAGCGTACATGCAGGAACGACTGTGGCGACGCCGGGCTGTCGCACGTAGCCCGAATTCAGCTAGGCTGGGAACTTTTATTCGCGACACCCCCTCCCCGCGCTCTGCTGATTGAAAGGCAATTGGGTGGGGAACAAGACCGTGATCTCGAAATCGGGCACACACTATCAGGACGCTGAAGGTGTGATCTCGACTCTCGAGCGCTGCGGTAAAATGCCCTTGCCTTTCGGACGGTGCGTGAGAGACCCGTCATATATGTGACCTGGGCACGTCGACGGACCCACTCCGCGGTCTGTTCTCCCCTTTGCTGTCCTAGTTTCGTCTGTCCTGTGCACGATGGCCGATGCTCCCGTAGACGTTCGCGCCACGCTCGGAGCCCTCCTCGTCGGCGGGCTCGTCTGCACCTTGTAAGTCGCCTCTCCTCGTACGCGTTGCCAGGGTCCTCATTGACCGCTATCGTGTGCCAGCCTCTCCGGCGCTGTATCTATACAGGCTTACCAGTATGCTAGGACATCCCAGAAGGATTTTATTGCTGTTAAAATATTGGTGTGTGTCCTAAGACGTGTTCGAAGGTCGATAGCGAGAACTGAACGCGCCACAACCAGGTCGTTATAATCTGGTACGCGCGCATTTCTGCAGCTCAAAAACACCGCCTTATCGCCACTCCAGGACGCTCGACATCTTCCACACTGCGCTGGTCGGTTTCTCCAACTGGGAATACCTCGTAGCAAGCTTTGGCAACCCCAACATTCACAACACCATCATCTGGTGCGTAGGCGCACAAAATTGGCTCCATCAGCCCTGACGTTACGTCCATGGCAGGTCGCTCGGTGTTACTGTCGCTGTTACGGTGAGATCATGCCGTTACTGTCAGGGTTACACGTCTAACCCTGTTTCTCAGGCCGTCCTCACCTTCTGTGTCCATTGGTAAGCGCACGACTGAAAGGAGAGGCAATCCAGTATTGATAGGATGGCAATAGCTTTTTCGTCCACAGACTGTACAAGCGTGAGTACAGAGCAGTCTTTCCAGGCCTTCATCCAGCATCTGGGCTTTGAGTCCTTTGGGCATTATCAGTACGTCTGCGCCTGGTTTGCAGACGTGCTGACCATGCCCGAAAAGCCCAGATGTCACTGACAATTGCAACAGTCACGAAGGGCAAGCTCTGGCTTGCCGGTCCGATTGTGGGTATCTCTGTGGCACAAACGGCCAGTAACTGTGATCACTGACTACGCTCCGCAGGCGGTTTTCGCGCTGTTTCGAATGGCCTCTGCATGTGGTGAGTCTTCAATTTGCGCCGGTCCACGCTTGAAGTTTGACATTGTTCATCTTTCGCCCAGTGACCTGCGGCAAGATGTGCGTCGCTGCTATCTCCAGGTATCGAGATGGACTTTCCTGATTGTCCCATCCCATTAGGATCGAGCTGGGAACTTTCCCTGCGTTCTTTGAGCAGATTCGCGTGCGTACTGCCAAAACATCTGTGCGCGAGTTCATGTGCTCACGTGCCTGGGGTGATTAATTTTGCAGTGGGTATTTACGCTCGGTCTTTGCCTCTCGACGGGCACGGATGTCACCATTGCTATCTCGATGTGCTACTTCCTGTGGAACAGCCGCACGGGCGCAAGCGAGTAAGCACTCATCGCGCGCACAAACCGTGCTGTGAGCTGATCCGGTGTTTCTCGTAGCTTGGACGCCATTATTGACTCCGTCATATTGTACACAATTGAGAACGGTATCTTGACAAGGTAAGTCTCGAAACATTAAGATTGCTACCCCATTAATGGCCGATCCTGCCGTATACAGCATTGCAACGATTGCTTCGCTGTGTTTCGTGAGTACTGCTACCGTAGATCTCATTTTAAGGTAATTAATGATATGTTTAGTGGTTAGCTTCGCCACATACCCTGGTGTACATGGGCCTTCACTTCGCGATCAGCAAACGTGAGTGTCTTCGCATGCATGTGCTCTTCCGAGATTGACGATCAACAATTGCCCTAGTTTATGCGAGTTCGCTTCTTGCATCGTAAATACTCACTTGCGCACGATTACGCCAGCCCCACTGATTGAATTGCGCAGGTTGAACGCTCGTAAGACCTTGAGGCAAGCTCATGCCTCTGTGATCGAGGGGCAGCGCCCATCTCCTCCATCGAGTCCCAGGCGGTTCTCTCGATTCTCAGTCAAGGCCGACAAATATGCGACTCGCTCCAAGGTGCGCTTCCTCATCATATTGTGAAATATCTTCGGCGACTTACACGCCCCTAGTTGGAAATTAGCGTTGAGAAAACCGTTGACTATGTCGTAGACGATGAGAGCTCGTATACGCCGGGCTACCAGATGGAGGTTCGCTCGATGAAAAACCTGACTGAGCGCAGCGACAGTCCAGCCTGACCCAAAACCTGCCACTGCGAAATCCTCTACATTCCGCTCTTTATAATCTCGCTCGCTTGTCCCCTTCCGCCATGTGTCCAACTCAGCGCCTTTCTTTGAAGCAGTGTATTAACTTGGTCGTGTCTCTCGCTGAGGTTCTCGTTGTACTATAACCAGTCTCGACTTTGCGGTACGTCAGCGATGCGCCGCCCCGATCTCGGACCTGATGGAATTCAAATGTGCGTCGTGCATGCCTGGCGCGCGCGTATGTCTGCATGGCATGCCAGTGGCCCGCTGGGTCCGATATTGGTCTGGGACAGTCGCCAAGTTATTCTACTTCTTAGAGGGGCTCGTCCGTGCGTGGAAAGAGAGTCAACGTTCCGGACCTGAAGCAGTACGGCAGAGTACTCCTTATCTGACGCGTGCATCTCATTTGGCGAGCAACACTGTCTAGCGCTGCAGACTGTTAACCACGAGTCGACCACAGCGGGGGCGTCTTGTGACCTACACGACGCTGCGGGCAGATTCGCCTGGGTCCCGATAGCCCTCTGGGGCCTGTTGAATACTGACAGCATGCACGATCAAGCGGAGCGAGACACGGTGGTGAGCGCAATATCCGCAGACCCTTCAGCTGCCGAGAGCATCTCTTTGATATGAACTGAAGTCTAACAGTAGGAACGGCCTGTCCAGGATCCAACTCCGGTGGGCCCGTTCTGGCACGCGTAGGCAAGGTGGTGGCCACGAGCACACTGCCTCGAGCCCTTCGACGCAGCAGTGCACGCCGCCAGGATATAATGTCCATGTTCCACAGAGGGGCAGATGGTTTGAAACCTCTGCAAGCTCGCACGCACGCCACCTCCTCCCGAACCACTGTCGTTTCCTATCCCTGAACCATGGAGCGCATCCGAGTCTACTCTGAGCACAGCTCCCGCCACACTCAACCCTGGTACTATGCGGAGGCCATTAAACCTTCCTTCTCTGGGTCCTCGTCCTCGCGCCGGGCGGGCCCTGTCCCCGGTCCGTCACCCAGGCGGACGCGTCCCACCAACCCGCCGCAAGAGTACACCCGCACTCGGCGCGAGAGCGAGCCGTGGCGGCAGGCGGCAAAGACGTACGCGTGGGTCCTCGAGCAGGAGATCGCGGAGATGACGAGGAAGAACGAGGAGACCGTGCGCTGGATACGCACACAGCAGGAGAAAGAGAGGCGGGAACGGGCCAGATATGGAGCGTATGGGCTCGAGCGAGGGTTTTACAGCGAGATGATGGAGGATTTGGGAGATGAAGACTTCGCTTTCACCGCCCGTCAGAGGATGGATCGAGCGTATTATCCGCGGAACAAGGACTGGGAGGTCCAGGAGGAGCTTCGGAGGCTGCAGGCGCAGAGGTTAGAGACCGAGCGCTGCCGCGCAGCGTACGAGAAGCGAAAGGCGGCAGAGCAGGAGAGGGACCGCCAGAGGCAGAGAAAGAGAGAGCTGTACAAGCTGCGAAAGGACGCGGCGGAGCAGGTAGCTTGGGAGAACTACGAGGCTGGATGGAATAGGCTTCTGTCTGGCGAGATCTCGGAGCCTCTGTCCTTCGAGTCGATCCCATGGCCGCTATTGGTCCCGCCACAAAGCACGGACGATATCCGGCCAGCGCGGGTCACGATCTTCATTCTGTCCCAATCGCATTCGCAGGGTCAGACCATGAAAGATCGCGTCCGCAGTGCGCTTCGCAGGTGGCATCCTGATCGCTTCGGACGGATCCTCGCAAGGGTCAGGGAAGAAGACAAGGGGAAGGTTGAGGAGGGCGTTGGCAACATCGCGAGGTGTCTTAACGAGCTTCTGGAGCGTGCTTGATTATAGGTGAGCTTGTTCGAAGCCGCCCAAAGCGTTAGGCAATGCTGATCCGTATTCCCAGACTTTTATGACATCTTCGCCGGGCGCGAGGCGAGTTCCCTGGAATACCCTCGATACTGATATCATCGCCATGCTTTACAATAAATGTAACACTCACTCTATGTTCAATTGATGACTATGGCATATGCTTATGCGCCAATAACAGTACGCGCTGCAGCGTCTGAGCTGTATGCTAGTGTTGAGCGATCGCGTCAGTCTCAGTCAATCTTTCGAAATTTTGTAATTATGTGCTCAATGCTGACAATGCGCCACGCCTGTGGTGGCTGTGATTAATGGTATCCCTCGAGCTTCATAAAAGCTTTAAGGCCCAGCTTCGTTTGATTTGATTATTGCGGGGTAACGCTGTGTCCAGATATGACAGATCGGATGCCAGTTTCCTCGGTAACAAAGTCGGTACTGACCCGCCTACTCTTACATCAGCAGTGTAGCACAGTGCATACTGTATGGACCGCGGTGGTTGGCGGTGGTTGGTCCCAAGCCGAGTTTTCGGCGCTTAGGGACACGCGGCTATAAGGCTAATAAGGATAATGCCGCGGTTAGTCGGTTACCTGCACTCGAATACTGCGAAAAAGAGGTCAAAGGTCTAAAGGCCTAAAATATTGTGCGGCAACTAAGATTGTATGTCGTACACTAGGTGAAGGTGCTTTGGTATCGAAAAGGGCGAAAAGTTCGCAAGATCATATCTTTCGCTGCACTACCATCTAGACGCTGCCGGCTTCCGGCTTACTATTGGTCGGAATTCGCAGGCCGCCTAGCCTCGCGCGCATGCTCGGTTTACGAAACTCAACATCCCTGACCATGATCACCAGTTCGGAATTTGCAGGATATTAGACTCGGCTAGACTCCTTTCTCCCGACCACCACAGTCTCGAACGGCCAGCAAGCGAGGATGTCGACGTTGACAGTGGAGCCGGTCGAGGAGAAGGTCGACGTGCTCGACCGTAAAGAGGTCCAACGAGGGAGGACTCCGACGAACAAGGAGTACTTCATGAAGTTCGTATGTGCGGCTATGAGCAGTGCGTATGGGTTGTACTGCATGCTATCATGCTATGCACGGAGCGGTGTTAACAATTTTTTGCGACAGACATGACAGCATCAGGGGTCAGTAATCCGCAGGACATGTACGTCTTTATTCGCGCTCACCTTCCGCTGTCCGTTCCGATTGACGTCACGTTCGCAGAATCAAGGTATCTAGCTAGAACGAGCCTTCGCGTACCTAGTCCGATGAACGGTGACTTCATGACGTATCTCAGGTTCGCCAGCAATTGCGGACACAGAGTAGGAGCACAGTTTCTCCTCAGAATCGGGCATCCGCTAACCGTTTGCACAGTCCCTGGTGCAAAGCACAATGCTTTCTGGGCTGTTGGAGCGGAAATGATCCGTACTGAAGGCCCTTTGAGTCTGATGAAAGGATTCACAGCCTCCATGATACGAGAAATCGTATATTCTGGGCTTCGACTTGGAGCGTACGAGTTCTTTAAGGACAAGTTCGTGGCCGCGACTCGGAATCATAAGATATTAGCTCACTGGCATTAAACAGGCTCTACGCGGCATCGAAAGGTGCACTTACACGAGAAGGCATTACCCTGAAAGTGCTTGCTGCGACATGCTCTGCTTCCATAGGCTCGTAAGTTATCCTCAAAAGTAGCGCGTGCCCAAATTCACCCTACGACAGCGCACTGGCCAATCCGGCTGACGTGATCAAAGGTAGACTTGGTGGAGTGGAATCACTTGCTCGATTAGCACTGACCAGGATCCAGTCCGGATGCAGGCGCACTATCCTAACGGAAGCCCGTATCGCAATACGCGACATGCGTTTGCTACTGTGTTCCGGGAAGGCATGAACTCGTCAGCCGCCAAAGGGTTTCCCGTATTAGGTGGCTTCCGTGCCCTCTGGCGAGGCGTGGAGGCGACAACTGTCCGCGGAGTTGTCTTGACAATATCGCAGGTGTGCTCGTACGATCAGATCAAGCAGGTCTTGAGGGGCCACGGCATCATGCAAGAAGGCATGCCGTTGCATCTGACCGCCAGTCTGTTTGCTGGGTGCGTTTGCGCCACGAAATGGCCTTGTGACCTCCTTACGAATGTTTGCATAGACTTTTCTGCTCTATCACATCGAACCCCGTCGGTGCGTTCAAAAGTTCTGCTCTCTTACCTAATCGCAGGAAGCATTCAATGGCATCGCCTTGACAGACGTCGTGAAAGTGCGGCTGATGACGGATAAGAACAGACAGTTGCACGGCGTTATGCACTGTGTCAAGACAATCTTAGTCAATGAGGGCCCCATGGCATTCTACAAAGGCTTCAGCATGTGCTGGGGTCGGGTACGTGCCGCGCTATATCTTCTTCACTGCGCTCCAAATTAATTCCAAAACGTACTTGCAGCTGGGCACGCATACCATTGTCAGCTTCCTCACATTTGAGAAGCTCCGACAGCTGTTTGGCATAGACCCGATGTAGGGTTTACTCGGCCTATCGGACCACCAGCACATATCGCTATACCCAGGGCCTAATGGATAGTCTCGTGCTGTTTCCCCTGTTTCCGCGTCAAAACTCTATCTCGAAAGGCGCTGCTCGGATGTGGCTATGTCATTGCGAACCTTTCATCGCTCGACGTCATTGATCTGTGTGTATAAGTGATGATGCATTGATATTTCACCCTACATAACAGGTAAGTACTAAGTACGCATTATACAACAAAATGTGTTCACAATGCTACAGTGCAACGAGAATCATGAAGACAGCATAATTATGAATGGACCCTTCTACACAGTGAACGAAAGATTAAGGTCGTGAAAATCCCTGGAACAAATACAGAGAAAAAGACGTCATAAGTCATGGGCGGGTCGTGAAATGAACACAACATGGTGTATGAAACGAATAAATACTGCGGAGGAGCGGATTTTGGAAGGAAAGGCAGCATGAGAATAAGTGACACCAAGAACGTGAGAGCAGAGACACTAAGTGGGAGAACCGAGGCATTATGCAGAAGACGAATGGGAATGGTGAAAGCTTGGTTTATGGATACTCCGGAGGAGGTTGAACGCGGATGACAGCCGGTGGTGCCCGTGCCCAGACTCGCCCTTGGCTTTGTGGACGGGCTCTTTCGACGAGCTTCGGAAGCTGCGTGACCGGCGAACCGGTTCCGCTTCTTCCTCCTCCGGCGAATGCTTCGACAGCGAGCGGACGTATACGGCCACGTTGTTGTCCTGCACCACGTCGTCTGGCGTCTGCGGCAGTGAACCGGAGTCTGTGGACCCTGGCGAGTCGTCGTCCATGGATGAGTCTGTTGAGCTCGAATTGTGCCGCGTGAGCGTCGGTCTTGATGAGAGAGACGATGTTCGGGAAGGAATGCGCAGCCGCGCGGGCTGGGGGCGCCGTAACAGCATCACGGGCTCGTAGTGCGCAAGCACATCGGCCTCAGTAACTGCCAGTTCGAAATCTAGCACATCAAGGAACTCGCGCTCGATCCGGCCCACGTCCCGTTTGTTGAACAGGCCTGTGCAGAGCGACCAGTGCACATTCTTCAGCGTGGAGTCATTGAGGTACTGTATTTTTGGGCCACACTTCAGTACAAGCGCGATAGCATTTGTAGACGAAACGCACCTTGTTCGCGCAGATGAGCGCTCCAAGAAAGACACGCTCGCACGCCCACTCTTCGAGTGAGAGCTGGAGATGCGGTCTCGCACGATCGAGATAAACGAGCGTGCCGAATAGTACGGGCAGCTGTACGCCCGCGCGCTCGATGACAGTCTTTGCGAACGCGGCAAATTCGGTGTGTACGGTGCGGCGGGAGTCTGGGGTGCCTTGGGAACGGCCCCTCGCGGAGCTTGAGGGGCGACCAAGTGCAAAATCGACGACGTCGATCACCCGCTCAACGATGTATTCTGCAAAAATGGCACCGCATGAGGTCAGTCTCGTGTAAAGGCATGCGGACGACGTTCCGACGTACCGACAAACGTACGAGACACCTCCGTCTTGAGGAGCTCGTCAATCTCTGGTGAGTGCAGGGCTGGGTCGACCAGGCTCGCGCCGTGGATGCGACCGGTGAGCTTGGTGGGCGCCATGCCTGTGGTGTACTGCTTTTCGTTGAGTCCCAAGGGAGAGTCGGTCAGCGACGACGGTCCTGTGGGAGGGAGGGAGGTTGGCGGTGAGTAGGGTCTAGGATGGGGGGACATCTTATACATCTGCGCGGGGGAAACCTACAAGCATGACACACCACCCTGAAGATCCTGAGGTCCAGCCGACAGATTGGAGTGACGAGGGAAAAGTAGGGACTCATGTCTATAGCAAGACCGCGGTTTTCAAGCTATAGTGAAGTCATGTCAAACAATACATAGCCGATGTAAAATCGGACATAAGAATAGCTGGGCGAGGGACATCGGAGACCAAGAGCTGTGCCCACTGACGCATGCGAAGCAAGAATACTCGTAGCACGCCGCTCTAGACCTACTCCTGTCCACCAATCCCGACGCATACCGGATTTAGACGCGCCCCCGACAAGAACATGCGAATCTCCATTTTGATGGCGGGATGCCCTGATCGAGGCAGTAAATGTCTCCGCCTATCCTCCCTCATTGCTAGCCGCAAAGTTTTCGAAGGCGGCGGACCCACCATAACATACTACAGCCCGACGCAGCCCGGAGCAGAACAGAGTACATGTAATCAGTACGCTCTAGCTTACATACATCTGTCCGCCAAAATTACACGATACACGACGGACATGGGTATTACTGGCTCCATTCCATGGACCGTGCCCGTCCGTCACGTTCCCCAATGCTCTACTCCTTGTTTTCTGGTTCGAACCTGACCCGTACCTCTGCGATCTCCTTCTTGGCATCCTTCAGGGTCCGCGAGATCTTGCCCTCGAGTGTGCTTGCGTCCGCCACGCTCAGCGTACTCGGGACCCTCGCGGTCAGGTCCACGAACATCTGCGCGCCTGAGCGCGTCGCACGGAGGTCCTTGACCCCTAGAAGCTGCTCCGCCGTGGGAGCCTGCTGGGGAAGAGTACCCGAGGGCGAGTGCGGATGGGCGAGCAGGGGTTCGAGGGCACGGATCAGGGAGGTCCTCGTCGAAGGGCTCACGCCGTGATCGGTCAATTGCCGGAAGGAAGTCATGGTGATGCCCCAGCCTTGTTGGAGGATCAGGAAGGACACGACGAGGCCTGCGCGCGCAAATGAGCTACCCCGCACTCGTGCACGAGAAAGGCTAAATGGCACTTACCCCCAATCTGATCAAGGGGCAGGCTGGGCCAGTACCAGGTGCCAAGAATGGCGACGAGCGCAACAAGGCTGCCGTACATGTCGCTCCGGTGATGCAGCGCATTGGCGAACAGCACCGGGCTGCGCTCCTCATCCGCGACCTTCTTCGTTGCACGGAACAGCCACTCTTTCCAGATGACACCGACCGCGGCAAACCACGCAGCATTCGGATCCAAGGCGTGCGCGTGCGAATGCGAATGCTCGGACGCGACAGAAGGCACTATATGAGCGATATGCGTGACATTGACAAGAACATCCTGCAGCGGTCCTGGTGGCATCGCCGCTGCTGACTGCGCGAGCGACTCCATGAGAATGGTAAGCGAGTGCAGTCCAAGGCCGATGGCACCGCCCGTGAGCAGTACAGACACTGCGGCGGTGCCCAAGACTTCAAATTTGGCGTAACCGCGCGGGTACGTTTCTGAAGGCGGTTTACGGGACAGCTTCCAGCAGAATAGCGTGATGAGGTCTCCAATGAGGTCTTGCTTGCGGGGCTGCTGGTTAGTGTGAGATGCGCTGAGTGTGGGCGTGGTGGCGCACCCCCTGCAGTATGCCCCGCATCTGCCAGCAACGAAGCAGAGTTCATGTACCACCCTGCCGCACCCTTGGATATTGACAAAGCCACATTCGAGGCAAGACCAACGAGTGTTATTCTGCTGCCTCTGTCGCCTTGCGCGTGCAGGTCGTACGAGTAGCCCGACATGACGAGGACAAGCAAAGCGTACCTGCGCCCTGGAGAGCTGCGACCACCTTCTCTGCATCCCCGTGCCCAACAGTGTCGCCGTGCGAGTGAGAGTGTCCAAGAGAGAATACGCCGTGCGAATGAGAATGCGAATCCGCCTGGTTGTGCGCCGCGTGGTCATGGTCACGTTCGTGTTCATGTTCATGTTTGCGCTCGTGCTCGTCATGTGGTGCCTTTGCGGGTTCCTTACCCTTCGATTGCGATTGGGTGGAATGCAGCCGTCGAGTCAGGGCAGACATGTTCGTGGAGTTCAGTACAGGTAAGCTCAGAGTCGAGCAGAGTTTGAGGACGGTACTAGTAGTAGGTACAGAAGCGGTAGAGAATCCCCGACAAGACGCGGTGGGACGTCGGCTCTTTGATGGAGGCGGACGGGCTCGCACAGACAATGTCGTTCGCAGAGAGGCTCTGGACGAGGATAGATGTACTGGTGAATGTCGAGGGATCATATTTCGTTACTAGGCTAGTCAGGTACAATCCCAGGATGCCGGAAGAGGACGAGGTGACGTGGAACGCAGAGCGGTGATATATAGCGTCTGACAGAGCCTCCAAAAGCCGACGAGCAGGATAAACTGCGGTCACCGTGGGGGAGTGTGAGACTCGAGAGGGTGGGACGATCAGGGCTGTGCAGGTCTCTTTAGAATATATTCTGCATTTTCGAGGGAATTTCAGCCCAAAGGTGGCCGGAGCGTTTCAGTCATCCCGACATATCACGCAACAGCGTACAGTCAGAGGCGTTGAATACATCACTAATACTGTGTTCTTGGCGTATAGTCGAACAATACAATACGGCTCGATGGCCGAGCTGTTGCAATAATCAAAGCGCGGAGGATAGTTCTGAATCATGCACGCAGACTGAGGATCACCGGTAGGGTACCCCTCCTTGTCGTGAAAATCTCTTCAATCTTGTCCTCCCAGGTATCCAGGAAAGATTGGTCTGCAATCTTTACGTCGAAATTCTGCATCAGCGCGCACGTTACTGAGCGCATCTCAGTCAGTGCGACGTTCTTGCCTGCGCAGCCCATCGGACCCTGTGAGAACGGGATGAAGACGTCGCGATTCGTAATGACCTCATCAGCAGCGATGATGTCTCCGGAAGGTGATAGATATTTTTCTTGGGAGAGCCACCGGTCTGGCCAGAACGTGTTCGCGAGTGGTGAGAAATGCTGAGGGTCGCGGTGAATTGAATATGCGATGAGCGATACCTGCGTCTCTTCAGGGATGAAGCTGGAAGCGAATGTAGACATGTGAGGCTGATTGCATCCAGCTGAGCATAGCGAACTTACTAAGGACCAATCATCTTTCCCCCCATGCCAGATTCCACGCGCCTCTGCAGACCAGCCAGAACAGGTGGGTATAGGCGCAAAGTCTCATTGCTGCGAAACAAATATTAACGAAGCTTCTCCTACGCAAAAAGAGAGGTGCGTACATGCAAGCGTTAAGGAGTGGCATGCTCGCCTGCTTGGTGAAGTTCAGCGAAGAGTCTTCGCCGTGAGGGAAGGCTTCGTCTATCTCCTTGCGAAGACGTTCGAAGTACGTGGGGTAGCGTAGCAGGAAATAGAACAGGTGACTGAGGGTGGTTGCAGTGGTATCCCCTCCAGCTATGATCGCCAGCATCCCGTCAACGGCAACTAGTGCCTTGGTGGGCTTGACTGGTTCGTGGCCATCCTCGTCCATGAGGTGATGAAATAGATCACGATGGGTGGAGCCAAGAGCAATTCGATCCTCGACAGTCTGCTCGCCCAGTGCTTTCATCCGGTCCCAATCCTTACTACCTCCGGGGATGAATAGGAGGTACGGGAGACACCATGGTATGTGGGAGATCCAAGCCGAGTCTCTAGCAGTCATCTGTCAAACTTTTGTGCGCGCCTTGCTTGGTATGGTTCACTTACTGCATAGCACGTTCAATAAGATCGAACAATCCCTCCTTGTCGTACCCATTCTTCAACATGCCGTAGTCGCAAGTGTACCTATATCGAGCGTTAACCCTGCGTGAGCCACTGTGGCTAAGAAAAACCTACGCCATATGCCCCATGAAATCAAACCCGAAGAACGTCATCCACTCGGAAATGTCCAGGGGATTGTTCATCCGCTGCTTTAGGCTAGCGACCAAGTCACCCAGCGTGTTCTGGATGAGCTCTTCATAGTACTTCATCGCAGCGCTGCTCATGCCCCTTGCCCAGGGCCGGCGCCGTACAGCATGAAGAGCCTGGTCGCGCATGCCGTCGAGACTCATGCCGGCTTCGTGCTGGCGAGTATCATAATCTGCGACAAGATTAGCAGCGCATCAATGTGCAGTGTGTGCGTGGTACGCACATGGCCCTCTGGGGAGGCCCTTCGCCCCGAGAACAGCGTCTGTGATGTCCCCGTGTGTGATCGACAACTCATTTGGCCCTGCACCTTACAATTAGCTCGTCCCAGGTTCACCATCTTCGCAACCTACCGATTCGAACCACCTCGCCATGGCGCATATGCAGGTCCTGGACATACAGATGCGCTTTGCCGCCTTTCCCAGCGACATACGCCAGCCAGCCCTTCGAGATCTTGCATAGCACAGGTCCTGGATAGCGAGCGAGGGGATGGAACGGTGATAGACGGTACGCAACGACAATGGTGGCAAGGAGAGACCAATAAGAAACGTAGATAATGAAGGCTGCGATGACGGAAGAACTGAAGTGCGAGTGGAGAGTGACGACGAGGGCGCCAGGGGTGATGCCCAGGAGAAGGACCGCTGATGCAGGGCTACTCGGTTCGTACTTCTTGTAGATCAAGTATACAGCCTGAGAACATGGAGTCGGCGACACCCTGTGAACAGCGCCACAGTAGACTCACAGCACTAGCAGCGGGAACAACGACCCGCGAGTCAAGCGCATTCTTGAAGTCGAATAGCAGAGACATCGCTCGCTTGTGATTGCGTACCAGCGGTCAAAGGCAAGGGTCTGTTCCCCCAAGGGTGTTGCTGAGAATCTTATATACTTTCGCCAAATCATGTTACCCATGAGGGCTAGCCGATGCTTCTGTCTGAGAATCGCTGGAGAGTATCCGTGCGACCATGGGAAGTCACCTGTACAAGGCTTTGGGCGCGCGCAGAGTATAAACGAAGCATCGAATGCGGCAGGCTTGCACAAGGTGAGGATTAAAACGGCGTGGCGCTTTGGGACCTACCGCAAAAAGCTTGATACATGTCTTCTAGACGAGGTGCTAGTAACTGGTATCAGAGATAGCTTCTTCGTAGACAAGCCGAGAATACCAGCATGGCCCCAGGATGATTGACGCCTATCCTCGCCGCATTCATCGTTCGTTCGTCGTCCTCTGAATGCCTTTTCAATTGAACAAGGGCTCGGACTCGGCCAATCACAGCTCGGCCACATTTCAGGGGCTGAGAACGACAATGGGAAAACTCCGATCATATCGTCGTCGGTCTGGCCTAGATACACCTTGAGCAACATTCAAGAGTAATGTTGCATTGGCCTACTCAGAAAATCAATCGTGGCCTGTGGGAGCAGTTGCAGCGTAGGGGTGGCTTGTGTGCGCTGAACGTTGTAGGAGACTGTACCCTAATGAGTCAATGAGCGAGCGTTGTCATATCAGTCAGGATTTTCTCACCAATGCCAAGCTTATGAGCCGAATAACACGAGCAACTCACCCCTTGAACTTTTGAGAAGGGAAGTCGCAGCGTCGAACGGTCATTGAGGGCGCCTTAGAGGTGACGACGAGATACGCTAGTTCTTCGCCATTCTTATCGCAAGCGACAGGTTTGAATTTCATTTATAAGCTCTACTTCCGCCTCGACATCGTTTCTACATACGTAAGACCTGTTCGACGTAGAAGTGCGGCATTTGCGCCTTCATGGGTGAGAGAGCTAGAACTTGAAGTTGGGTGGTCTATCGGCGATTTGCTACATTTCTACTTCAGGATGATGTTCCGGTCGGGGTATTTAGTAAATTTAAGGGAGAAAATCAATGGGGAGGCTTACAATGCCGCTGTAAACCATCGCAAGCTGAGTGGGCCAAGAGCCTGAGCCAGCTGCGGCCAAGTTTCAGCATCGTTGCGCGCCAGGTGAATGAGACGTCAGCGCGTCAGTTGTGATCGGTCGATTCACTGCCATCTCCCACAGAGATATTTGAGTGAGTAGATGGTCTAATCGATAGGCAGCCGTATGTGCAGGTCCAGAGCCAGAAAAGAGGCGTCAGTAAGCGCTTGCCAAGCTACTCGGACTTAAGCTTGCCGCCACGGTGTTTGGCCCGGTGGACCGTTCCTGGCACTTCGCATCCTCCGCTTCATGTGGGAGGGGTGCGGACACTTCAGAGGCGAGTGGAGCCTGGTACGGGCATGGAAACGATTGGCACTAACAAGTGAATCCGCTGTAGTCCACCACTGACCTGATTAAACACGATATATGCGTCTTCATTCGACCGAGGAGGCGCAAGCACCGTTATATATACCGTACTCAATGCATAGCGACCCTCAGCATTTCTCATAACTTACGAACACGCTCTGGCCCAACCGATGGCAAGAGAAGTAGAGTATGCCGCCGCTCTGGCTGCTATGCGGGCTGTAATGTGTGCCAGTGCGCTGCTGCAGTACTTCGAGGTAGATACTGCAAAATTATCCTTCGTCGAGACCTGGGAGAACAAGATTGAGGGATCTCCGCAACATGGAAGGGCAGTCTACCGATAACTCTTAGTTTGTGGCGATGTCTCAAGATTACCCAGTAAACACGGTTGATAGAGTAGAGGTTTATCGTAACTTAGCGTCATGTCTAATCCGGAATATGTATTGTACGCTTGGCCGACTCCGCCGCCGACATAGTGTACATGATGATAATGTGTGCATTCGCGTATGGAACAATGAAAAAGATCGAGAAGGATTAGCGACTGTGAGGGGATAACCTATCTAAATAAGCAAATGACCTAACAAACAAACAGTAGCATGAGATGTGACAGAACATTATGAATACACAGCAAGGATGGACATGGATAGCACCGACATGGAATATGATACAGCTGGCACGGCGAGATTGTTAGTGTGTAGAAGCGAACACAGGAGAAGTGCTCACAAGTATTAAACACGAGAAAACCGGTCGCTAAGGCTATGAGACGGCGCCGTCGACATGGAGGTACTCCAATACAGAAGGTATCGAGCTGTTTTGACGACAGACAACTTCGAGATCGTTCGCTGTCCACAATTTATCCCCTGGACGTTGCGAGGACGAGACATCCAGGCGCAAGAAGGTCTCGTCGTGAGCGTCCGAGTCGTCCTCAAATTCCGGCTCATGCCTTCCAGCACCGTGTCGATGGTACACTTGACTCCGAGATTTGCTCCTGCGATGAAGGTTGGACGGGCTGGCGTTGAGGAAGCCGTTTCCGTACGGCGATGCGTTTCTAGTCAATTTCGCAAGCGCATGATCGACCGCTGAGGGGGAAAGCCCAGAATGCGAAGACTCGTTTGAGTTGATCAGCATGTCCTGTAGGACACGTAGCGTCACGGCCTCGATGGCCCCCTTGACTTTCAACGACGAACCTGAGGCCTCCGCAACAGGCGGACGTGCCGAAGCGATGTCGATATGCCGTTTCAAAGACACTACCCACTGATGGCGGATAAGAGGGTCGTCGACGCTGAACATGTATTTCCGCTTCTCCCCGTGATGGCTCTTGAACGCGACTTGGAACGTATTCCGCATGAAGGATCGCTCGACCTGGACCGGACTGCTCAGTGGCAGGCCAGAGTACGCCAGGGCGTTTGGCCCTGATCGCCACATGACGATGGTCTTCGGACCGAGTGAGGTGCCTGTCACACGGAACGATGCCTCCGCAGACTTAGCGAAGCTGAGCACAGGGGGATCAAACATGAGGTCTTGACCAAAGAGCTGAATGTTGAGCTGGGGGTCGGGCTGAGGTACGCGCAGGACGATAGGCTCAGACTGCATGCGATAGGTCAGACGCGGTGGTAGAGGTCGCTTGAGAGAGATCGCGAGATCTGGGATGGATTCGTATGACGTTCGTGACTGAGAGAGTCGCTCCCGTCGGACGGCTGTGTATATCTTGGTTAGGAGCTCGTCTGACACAAGACCACGAGGGTCATAGCGCCGGAAAGCGTCAATGAAATCGCGGTCGAGTACGTTGCGCCTGGGGTATCCAGTGATCCCGATCGTCTGAGCGATGCCACCATGCATGACTTCGTTCACTTGGACGATCGCGCGTGCCAAGCGAATGGCAAGATCTTTGTCATACGCAACTATGCCTGCGTTCGCCTCATACCACCTACTGGCAAATGCATCGAGAAGGTATTCCAGAGCTAACTTGGAAGGAATGCAGATGGACAACAGGAATACCCGCAAAGCCTTGTCGATCCGCAGTCCGGCGAAACCGAAGCTGTCCACATATGCCTTGAGGACAATCTTCGATGTCCGCCGAGCAAGATATTCGCCTAACCGCGCACGGTCTAACTCAACAGCGCGGAACATCAGTTGTCCCAAAGCAATTGGGTCATCTCTCGCATTCGATTTGTCGAAGAGCATAGAGATCGCCATGTCGGAATCCTTCGTAAACTGGTGCACGAACGTACGGATGACCTGGTAACGCATGTGGCTCGTGGTCAGCGCCGTCCTCGAGTGTGAGTCCTCACGGTCTGAGCTGAACTTCAGGTCGCGGAGTAATACAACGTTCTTGACAATGAATTTGCGGTCGAGGGGTGTCGGCCTTGTCGCGTCCAAGAGCGCGTCCTGGTCTTGTATCACAGGCTTTGCGATGACAAGAACGTCAGTGAAGAGGAAAAGGAAGCGATCCTTGACCGTGTTCGCATTTGCCACCTGCAAGACTGGCGAAGATAGGACAAGTTTCCGTGGAGGATCGTCTATAGCGAGTGGCCATATAGAGCTTTTTGACCCACGGCCGAGCGCCTCGTCCAGGCGCCCCATGATGACAGCTGCTCTACTCGGGTCATGCGTGGCAAGTGCTGGAGAATTAGGTAAAGACATGTCGGAGGAAAATGATTCGGAGTTCGACCTAGCGGGGAATTCGTCTAGCGACGACTGTGGATCCGGTGTCGCGGATGATGGGGGCTCTGGAGGAGATGGCAGCGCTGTTATCTCAGTACCGTTGGCATGGACAACCCTCGATGATGGAGCGGCGTCTTCTGCCTTGCGGATACCTTGCGGTTGCTCCGGACGTTCCAATGGAAGTTGTGGTGGGTACTGCTCGTCTAGGCGCTTAGCTGACAGTGGGGTGGCGGCACTGACAGGCGTTTGAGATTTGTCGCTACCAATGTCTTCCCAATCAGAAGAGAGATCTTTGTCTTTACGGCTGACGAGCGAGTCAAGATCCGCCAGTGCGGTGAGAGACGGTTTCTTCGATGGGGGAGGTCTTGATGGGCTGTGACCATTGGTCGTGGCGCTAGGTGTGGATGGCGCCGAGGACTGGGACGGACGAAAATATCTTCTTTGCACTAGCCATTTCCGAACGCCTTCAACGTTGGTAGGTAGCTTCAAGGAGCCAGAGTTGCTCGTACCGCTAGTCGTATTCGACGTGACTGAGCCGAGGCTGAAGTAATCTGCATGTGAGCCCGACGACGGGACGGACGAAACTGGAGACGGTCCCTTTGTGGTGCTGAATTTCTCAAAGAGCCTCGTGTCGGACACTTGATGAGATATCTTCCGATCTCGCGTGCCTTCTGGGACCTTGGTCGTGGCGCTCGAAGACGAACTCGAGCTTGGGGTCGCCTCGATGCCACCAGGACTGAAAATATCGGGTGAAGAAGCAGACGTGGTTAGACCCTTCGCCTTATTCCGCTTCTCCTCGAGCTGCTTCATCATGCCCGGGAAGGGGAAGAGCTTCGAGTCCTGGTACTTGAGTAAATCCGCGGAAGAGGCAGCTGGCACAGGGGATACGCCGCCTGGAGGTGCGCCGAGAGGGGCTAGAGACAAGATAGAAGCCGAAGCGGAGGGTGATTGCATGAGTCCTGGTGCCTGGGCGGGAGGCTGCTGCGCGACCCCACTCGAACGGTCTCCTTTGGTTGCACTTGTCTGACTGGCCCCGCTCTCTCGGCTGACGCTTGAGTCCGTGTTGTATCTCCTGTCCCGCTGGCCGATGCTGTTCGTCCGAGATCTGCGTCCACTGCTGGAGTTACTCCTTGAGAATGCACCCTTCACGCGCTCCCACGGTGACATGCCTTCTCCGCCACGCTTGGGCGTCGCATCCGTCCGGTTGTCTTCCCAATCCTGGAACTCGGTCGCCAATGGAGACGGCTCAGGCTGTTGTACAGGAGTGGTCACCGAAAGGCGGCGGGGATAGACAGGCGATGGAGGTTGTACGACGGCCGTAGGTTCGATCTGGTTTGAGAATGACAAGGCGATAGCGGAAGATGGTGAAGGCGGGATATGCGAAGGAGACATCTCGGGTGACGTCTCAATCTCAACGAGCAAATCCTTCGATGCACTCGCCGTGGTGAGCGAAGTAGGGTAGTAGCTCTGCGAAGACTGATCATCCGACGGCCGACCCTCGGGCTCTTCAACTTGGGGAACGGCTTCTTGGTGCTCAGACTCAGGCTCTTCTTCCGCGTCGTCGTCGTCGTCTTCGTCATCATCGTTGATAGGCATCCGAGGCACTATTGTTCGTCAAGCAGTTCAGCGCCGAAGCACAAGACTTCACAGATGGTAAAACACACCTGGCTCTGCAACCCAACTGATGTCACTATCCCTGGGAAATGCTTGCCTTGATGATGCATGTGCTCGGAGCTCGCGGTATGCGTCTGACTCTTCGTCTTCGTCCACCAAGTATACTTTCTCTCGCAATGGTGTCGCGAAAGGACTCGCCGGGAACGCGTCCTGCTTGTGGGAGGTCTGCTGTGAAGACATATAGAACGGGACGGGAACAGCGGATAACGACTCGCTTGAGAGCTGAGAGGACACATCCGAGATATAAGGCAACCGCTGTCCGAAGCGCCGAGCTGGCGTAGTTGGCAGACTAGACACCTTGTCGGCTGCGCCTCTGTCCATATCTTCGTCCTCATCCTCTATAACGACACCTCGACCACCAAGCGGCATGGATGCGTCCGGCGGCGACTGGTGCTGCACCGGTGTCTTGCTTGAATCGGGCAATGCGTGCGAATCCCCGATTACCGCGTGAAAAGGCGGGGCAAGCGGCTCAGTGAGGACGACGGGAGTGTTGGGCGACGTCGATGTCTGCTCCCTGTCATCGCGATCGTCAAGGACGGTCGATGTCCTGGAGTTGCTCCTACGTGATCTTCGTTTTTTCTTCCGCGCAACTGTAGCTGGCGTCGCAGGCCTAGAAAGATCATCCGTTCCACTTGTCTGGTCTGCGTCCGCCTTCTCGACGCGCTCTCCAAGTCGGCGCAGCAGATTCCGCCGGGCTGCAACTCTTTCTCCGCGTTCGCCTCCGGAGACAGTGTTGCTCCGGCCTAATGGCGTCACCGTTTGTGCGAGCGACATGTCTATCGGCTCCCCTGTAAGCTTGGACATAGCCATCATCCTCTGTGCACCGACACTATTTGAGCGGAAAAGGCCCTTCTGGATCTCGTCGAGCGTGGGGGGCATCATCGGTGTCGAGGGCGACGTCATCGGGTAGAACATACCTGGCACCGGAGAAATTGCCGAGCGCAGGAGGCCCGCTGATGGAAAGGCGGCGAAGTGTGATGGGATGGGGGATACAACGGGAGGCGAGGGCGGGACGTCCTCTGCGACGTACTCGTCTGCGGACGACTCGTTATTGACTGGCGGCGGGGTCTTGGGCTTATTACGCAGGTCTTTCGACCCCCTCGAGCGTGCTCGTGAGCGTGAACGACGCTTGCGTGCAGGAGTCGAAGGTCGCTCTGGGGGACCGTCAGACGGGGGCACGTCGCCCCCCTTGTCGTCGATTGCCTCAGCCCTGTCTTCAAGCCGCTCCTCCGGCCGCGGCTGTCGCGGCTGTTCCTCGACTTTCTCATCCTGCTCTGCTTCCGGTTCGGCTTCCGTCCTCGTCGCAAGATCGACTCGCTCTGCCACATCCGTGCGTCCAGGTGACGCGTCGGGCTTCTCGTCCGAATCTGGCGCACTCTCCTCGTCTGGTAGGTCATTCTCGGCTCGTTCTCCTTCGCTGACCGCTTGGACGTGCATCGGGGGCCGTCTTCCGTCCTTCATGCGTGGGAGAGATGCAGCACGCTTGAGCATAGCTACGGCTGTTGCCCGCTGCTCTGCGATGGAGGGCGGTTCCATGGCACCCTCGGTGTCTGTTGGAAGTAAATAGATGTTCCGAGTGGCCTGTACGAGACCAGAGACGCACCTCCACCGTCAACGGAGAAATCTTGACCAGTGTCAGAGCAAGCTACAGACAGTTCGAAAGCTCTAGCGCACCGTTGAATTGTGACGAGTGAAAGAACAAGGGGCGGGGCGCAACAAGGGGCGGGGCGCCGACTGCGCACAACCTTTCACCACTTCACGCTGACCGACAGCCGCGTGAAACCCTCGTGCTCGCTGTCGATTTCGTCGTACAGATAATGGTGATTCAGCTTTGGGGAGTATGTATGCGGCGAGGTTGTGGAAATGAAGCAGCTCAGCACTGCAAGATGCCCTGTTCGTGCACGTACGGCATTTGCCGAAAGCGATCAATAGGCTTTAGAAGTAATATTTGTATTGTGTTTAACGCAACGCCGGTGACGCAGCAGAAACCCTCAGGAGCATGCAGAAAAGATAATGGAATAATGCAATGTATTATAAAGTAAAAATATGCTAATGTAGATCGGAAGGAGTAGTGGAGGTCAAGTTGGGCTCTATCGTGGACAATTGTCACATGCGCGCCGGCTTGTCAGTCCATATTTTGGAGAGTGCAGGAATAGCACGAATGTCGCTATGCCGCAGTGATAGAACTTGGCGAATCTTCATGAGCAGCGGGGGAGACTGCTGGTTCCTCTGACGATGTAGCATCAAGAGGCGCGTCCGACCGTGGCGCAGGCTCAGCAACTGGCGCGACAGTGTCAACCTCTTCATCGTCATCCATGATATCTGAGCAGGGTGAAGGTCAAGAACAAGATGGAGCACCGATTGCTGAGGTACTCACCGTCGGCATACACCTCGGGATGCTCCCTGAAGCAGTCCTGCATGGCTTTGAACTTCTCTACGCAGTCTATGCCTTTCGGATCCTTCTCGGAGAACACAAAGCACGAGAACGCTTCTCTGAATTGCATCCCGCAGGGGCCATGCGCCATGCCGCCGAGGCAAGGACAGTCCCAGTTGATCTCGCCTGTCTCCGGGTTGAACGCACCACCACTTCCAGCTTCCTGAGACTCTGCCTCAGCTTCCGCGGCAAGAGCATCCATTGCATCTGAAGCGTCCTGAGTAGGGACAGCTGCCTCAGCTTCCGCGGCAAGAGCATCCATTGCATCTGAAGCGTCCTGAGTAGGGACAGCTGCCTCAGCTTCCGCGGCAAGAGCGTCCATTGCATCTGAAGCGTCCTGAGTGGGGACAGCTGCCTCAGCTTCCGCGGCAAGAGCGTCCATTGCATCTGAAGCGTCCTGAGTAGGGACAGACACGTCGGAATTGGCCTTAGGCTGCTGAGATGGAGCCGGCTCAGTAGCGGGGATAGTTTTGGCTTTCGTCTGCGCCGGCCTCGGAGATGCTACTTTTCTTTGTGAATTTATAGCGTGCAGCTGGGAGAACAATACGTACAAGACGCGACTGAGTCTAGGGTAATTCCTGGTCCGGACAGAGATTTCCAGGCAACATACGCTGTTACCGCTGACGCTCCCAGAGCGAGTCCCAGCCGGCCACGATGCGTGAATGATGGAGGACGCGCCGACGTATGCAAGCATCTTCGCAAAGTTATCTTCGGCAGCAAACGAAGCATTTTGGATGTAATTGAAGCCAAGGTGAAGGCAGAGGAACGAGTGTGAATTTCGCCGTTGGTCAGCTTCGGCAAGTCGCCTCTGTGGGCGTCAATGAGCTCATACGCTTCACGAAGCTGAACTTGCCACTTCAGTGCTCCATTCCGGTTCATGTATGGGACTTGCCCGGAACTCGCTACTGCCAGGTGGTGAGCCATGAGGCCGACGGCAGCCCGCTCCAACTGCCGGTGGACGGCGTGACGCTTACAGTCCGTGAACGAATCAGACTTTATAAGTGTACTAGTCTCTCGCTTGCACTAGAACTACCATGTCCGCGCTGGATACGACAAGTTGCAACTCTAGCAACCTACAGGGATTCTATGCCTGGACGGACACATTGAAGGGCATCCAGTATGGCCCAGGATGCCTGGAGGAGGCTCTTCCCAATTTTCTAGACCTTCTAGGTGTCAAGAAAGTACTTATCGTCACAGGTCGGAGCCTCTATGAGAAGGTGCGACTCTCATGCGCCATTCATGATAGTTCCTGGCATCTCAGCGCGTCGCCCTTTTTCCTATCTTCAGACTGATGTGGTCAAGCAAGTCGAAACAGTCTTAAAAACTCGGGATGCTTATGGCGGTGTATTCTACGAGATCAGCCAGCACTCGCCCATCGCAGGTATCCGCAAGGCGCAGCAGGTCTTCAAAGAGGCTGATGCAGACGCAATCGTCTCCGTGGGGGGCGGATCTCCTATTGATGCTTCCAAAGCTATTCTATACCACATCCATAAGGAAACTGGTGGACCGATTTTGAAGCAAATTGCTATCCCTACCACGCTGAGTGCGGCTGAGTACACTGTACGTAAATCCCATATGACAGGAAATTAACTCTGATCTCTTCCAAGGCTGGGGCTGGGTTCACGAACGAGGAGGGGCAGAAGGTTGCAGTCAGCGACCTTGGGCTAGCTCCAGCAGCAGTCATCCTAGATGCGAAACTCACATTATCTACACCAGAACGCCTGTGGTGAGTCTGGAGCCCGCTGCGAGACCACTAGTGATCTGAGTCCAACACTAAATTCGTCATCAGGTTATCCACAGGCATGAGGGCTGTGGACCATGCAGTTGGTGAGTTTACTTTACGTGCCGCTTAGTACTTTTCACACTGAATCATATCTTTCTCAGAGAATCTTTATCGCTCGCTGATTCCCCCTCCCTCAAAGCACCTCAGCTATGCCGCCCTTGCGGACTTATTCGTCAATCTTCCTCTATCTAAGGCCAATCCTGATGACGTCAACATCCGCCAGAAGTTACAGATCGCCTCTTGGATGAGCTTTTTGCCTCAGAAATTCCGGAAATACAGGTATGAACTTGTAAATCAATTTCGTCCTCTGAAGCTCAGTAGTTGTGTCTAGCGCTGCTGGTCTGTCTCATGCTTTGGGTCATAAGCTCGGAGCTGCCTACGGTATTCCTCACGGGATCACATCAGTATGTGAAATACAATCTCAATTAGCGTTAGAACTTATCTAACATCAGCCTACTGCCCTTTAGTGCATCACTCTTGCCCCAGTAGTAGCGCTCATGGCTGAGACGGCTTGTCACGAAGATAAAGAATGGCTCGCGAATGCGATCTTCTATCTTCGTATACCATCTTCTGGGTCTCTGGACAAAGACATTCTCACCCTGTCCGATGCTATTCGAGGGTATGCATCTTTACTCGCCCGCACCGCTCTACGTTTGATACTGACGCTATCTGCGAAGCCTTGTCGACAAGTTGGGCCTGACCTCCACTCTCACTGAATATATTGTGCCCAAAGAGGACTTGCCGAAAATCGCAGAAAGGACCCTAGGACGCGCAGACGGTCCACTTTACCCAGAGGTGGTCAAGTTGCTAGAGAACATGTACTAGGATAAAGGCCAGGAACGAGACCAAGTATACCAACATGACTCTGTACTATTAGTAACTGTAGGAAATGTCTAGACCAAAGAGCGAGCTCCGCGACCATCTACAGGGTATTGATATTTTGTCTACCGGAAGCGTACCTGTTCGGATAGGGATGCGTGTTGTTCAAACATAGTGTAGCGCATCTGACACGGACTAGGGATAGGACATAAAATGCAATACGTTCAAGACTGTTTTTGCATGTTCTTCATTCTTTCCTTGAACGCTTTCCAGGACGGACGTGTCAACTCGAAGCCATCACCTAGCGTGGCATATGACCCTCCACCGAGGCGGGCGACAGGTCGCAACTTCGCTGAGTCCACGGTCTGACCGTCTTCAGCCAGCACCGCATTGCGCACATGGACGTCCTTGATCAGTCCTATGACTAGCGTGTGTGTGACCTCCTCGGAACCGGGTGCTTTGACGTCAAGCGACTGGTAGAGCTTGACTGTCGTGTCAGCGGTAACAGTCAGGGAAGACAGCCTGCTTAGGTGCTCTTACCTCGCATTCGAGTCCCACGGCGCTCTCCTTCACTCGAGCGGGCTTCACCGTCGTCTACAGACGTTACACGTCAGTGTCGTGCATCATAAATTGGGACATCCACTTACGCTAGACTCCGGAGTCAGGCCGCTGACGACCCACTCATCCACATCGGGCGGTGCGTTGACAGAACAGGCATTCGCGGCCTCCACAAGCGGCTCGCTGATGATGCTGACAGTGAACTCCTTAGTGCTGAGAATGTTTTCCCGACTGTCCTTCGGCTTTCCGGGCGAGAGGGAGAAAGATACGCTCAGCAACGGCGGATTATGGGCAATCTGAATATTCAAAAGTCCGGTCAAAATCGCAGTTAATGGAACGCGAGTAATGCATGGGCTCACCAGAGAAAAATAGCTGGCCAAAACAAAATCAAGTTTTAGTCAGGGTATATCATCGCGAGACGATACAGCCTACCTCATAGGTGCAAGATTGGGGATGTCATCCGAAGAGACAGTGGAAACAAAGGCGATGGGCCTGGGAATGACTGCGGAGGTGAGCAGCTTGTACACCTCTCTAGCTTTCGGATCAGCCGATAGTTCAGCTCAGATTAGAGAGACCTTCAGTCAGGTACCTTCCCGGCATGTCGCTCAGAGTGCACGACTTCCACCCTAGCTTCTCGGCTTCATTCCACTCTTTGGCGAGCGGGGACGCAGGGGAAATGCCCTGACCAAGATCCCACTCCGGCGAGGGAGACTGTGTGAGTTGGAACGTTCGCGAGGCGTCAAACTTCGGCAAGGATGACTGGGGTCGCCGCGACCATGTACACGCAGCTGCCCCTCTTGCTGACCCGATCGCTTGGCGTAGATTAAGCCTATATGTTCTCGAGAGCATGTTGGTGGTTGGGTGATGGTGAGAAACCGTTGTCACGAATGTCGTGTGAATTATGTAAGCTAACGCCACGAAGCCGGGCGGTCTGAATGTACACGAATATCCTCCGTCTCAGTTTGAACCAAGTAGTACCATGATCCCACTCCCGAACACATAAAGAGAGTTAAAAAGCATCGTTAAATCATAAGCATATATTAACCAGGCATATATAAGCCATTATCGTCCTCAGGGCCCGGTTTTTGGCAGGCCAGTAAGTGGTCAGTGCTCAGCTTCGAATCCGACTCTCCGAGTCCAGCGCAGAGGGCCTGCATACATCAGGAAAAAAAGTCCGAGACCAGAAGCGCCCCGTGAGCTCCGTAGTTCCAGCAGCCCGGTGGAACTGACCCCTATTACCCTGCAACCAGTAGTCTCCTGCCATGTCTCCGTAGCACCCGTGGCAGCCTGCATAAGTTTGGCAACACACCGTGGCAGCCTGCAAACATTCAGCAGCACACCGTGGCGCTGTCGCAGCCTGCCTGTAGATACCAGCAGACGGCGTCCCGGGCTTTGCACACTCACCCACAGGGAATAGATTGACAGAAGAAATATATTAGGCACACAACTGTACAGTACATGTTGGTGTATACTACACTAGAGTCATTCTGCTGTGGTAGGGGATAGACACAAGAGGTAAATCTATAATGTATAGAGTCAGAATAGTACTATATGATCTGCGGGGGCATCACTCACCTAAGTCTTAAAACCGCTATGCATCCAGCGCAGGAAACAGCGCAGGACATGCGGCTGGTAATCTCGGATGCGCAACCCGTTAACCGCCCTTCTTGCGATACCCGTGCAGCAGCGACGGGCTCGCTATGAGGCACGTCGCGGGCGGCTCACAATATGCCCCGCGTAGCTGCAGGCGCTCGTGGTTGTGCTTGTGCTGGAGATTTCGAGGGTGCGTTCGAGCGCAACGTGCACCCGGTGCTTGCGTGAAAGCTAGACAGGACCACTGCGGAGGTGTGTAAGTGTAAGAACATGGCATACCCCGAAATGCACGACATGGGGTGGAGGTGTATGGCAGTGGGAGGTGGATTTAGCGGATCTTCCATTGCCTGATGCGAGCCCAACTTATCAATATCAAGATTATATGACATAATGAACTCACTGATCACCGCTGCCTGTAATCTGTGAGACACCGCATCCTCCGTTGAGAAAAGGAAGATAGCGGTGAAGGGCTGCGCCGCCCTCAACAGCTGCGGGTATCCTAGCAGCAACGCGGTCATCACACCCTTAACTCTTGTGGCCTGTAGTGCTTGTCGTATCATTCATGGGCTTCTTGGTTGCGCGCAAACACTGTTTCGCTACTCTGGGG